CTATACATATCTGTGAAATAACTCATACTTGGATAAGGTGAGGGTTTAAAAGGAGCCCCACATTTACCTGCCCTTCATACACAAATAAGTGTGACATCGAAATGGGCTACAAGTGCTTTGAGGAGAAATCTTGTTCCATGTTTCCTCCAGAGACCAGCCTCCTGTTCGCATCACTGTAGCGAAGGCAAATGACTGGGTCTAGAAAGTAACAGTACTGCTCACATGCCACTCAGCACAGTGGGGTTCCTGGTCAAAGTTACTGGAAACTTGAACCCCTTTTTAAGTCTCAACTGATTTGTGCCTTGCTCTGTCCTCACAGGTGGGCATGTATTTCCAAGTATAGCCTTGCATTCTTTAGTGTAGAACAGTAGTAAAAAGATGTAAAAGGTCATAATAACAACATAAGGAAATTCAGTTGAGGGAAATGACCACCTGGAGATTCTAAAGAAAGCAGAATGCTAGAAGGCCTAACTTTCCAATCATTCTCACCAGCCCCGTCAAATTCTATTGCATTTAAATCTGGTTCTTTGGAGGAAGATAATTCTGTTTAATGCAGCCCCAAAAGCTGAAGCTTGCCTTGATTAGGATTTAAAATAAAGTTCTGTTTTTTTTTGTGGCACAGCATTTGCACTGCCTGTTCGTGGCAACAGTGAACCTCGGCTTCTCACTGTAAAAAAATCTGAGTTTTACATATTAATTGACAGTCTTCAGGTTAGTAACGCTACTATGCTGTTAGAATTTGCATGTTTAGGTATATCCCACTTTTACATAATCCAAGAAGCATAAATTGCTACACTGACAAATGAGAAACTCGGACTCCTCTCTTGCACTCCTGATTGGTTCCTGCCCATCATCTGTTCCTTCTAATCCAAGGGAAATCCAAGAAGGCACTAGGCTTGAGGGATAGGACTCTCCCTACTGATTCTTTTTGGGGGAAAAATGAAGATCCCTATTTTTTTCCAGTTCAGTTAAGCCATTTCAAAGTAACGTGTTTGGGAGATTGCTTATAACTACCACCACCGCCCTTTGTAGGCACTTTTAGCAACTTTCTAGTACCTGGGAGTCCAGGGTGTCACCCTCTAGGGGCTCTGTACCTTTGCAACCCACTATGTTGTAACACTCACTTCTCTCATGTGTCTCCTTCTACTAGAAATTTAGCTCTTTGGAGAATCGTGTTTGTACGCCCCTAGAACAGATTCTTAGCTCATCAAAAGCTAGATGAGTGAATGGGCAGTGGAACATCATGAAAGTTACAAAAAGTTTTGTTATACAAGGTTTCTGATGTGGAGCACCAGAGTTAATCGGATGGAGTCGGTGAATAAAGAATCCCTTCGTCTGATGGGATCAGAACTGTAGTGCAGCCTTGCTGACCGCCAGTCCGAGCCCTCTCCCCAACCACGACCCTGCTACCCTTATGCAGATGTGAAGTAAATTTCTGCACAAAGTCGCTCAAATAACATGTTTCTTTTGAACGTTTGACACAGTAGAAACTGAGTACCCCCCGAAATGTCAGTATATATGGTGTTTAAAAAACAAAATATTTATGTTACTTGTTTTTCTATTTTTGTAATTGGTATGCTTTAACATATATTTGTCTTTGGAATAGAATAATGATTATGAAAAATTCTGGGTAGGATGAGCATTGTCTTCATTTAGTAATGAAAGAGTGTCAAGATACTTTGTATATTTATATTTTTCTCATGGAGGGTGAGAGATAAATATACTGTGAAAACTTTTTGCTAACCTACTTCTATTCATAAATGGTGTTTCCTTAAGATAAGTGCTATTTGATAGTCGTAATTGTGAATGTTTACACAATTATGTCTGTGCTGTGTGGTGTGTGTGTGCGTGCATGCACCTGTCTGTATATTAGCAGGTCCCATGATTGTAAATATAAAATTTCTTTCTCAGACTCTCCTTTGCATTTCCACTGCCTCTGTCCTAATTCTGATTTATATAACCTTTTAAAATACAGATTTTTAGACTAAAAAATGCTTACCCATGAAAATGAAAATCATACAGATATTTTAAAAGATCTCTTCACCCTTCGCCAATCATGCTTTGCTCCCTGAGCTGGCTTCGTAGGCATGTGACCTGGGGGGCTACACATAGTTCCTGCAGTGGGAGGGACCTGGGCTTGTTTTCTTGCTCTGCTGTTGCCTTCTTGGAAATTTTAATCATTTTGAACACAGGGTCCTGCATTTTCATTTTGCCCTCAGCCTCGCGGAATACGTAGCTGGTCCTGTCACCACGCCACGCCTCTCCTGTTCCCCTTCACTTATGTAATCATTCTTGACTGTGTTACTTCCAGAATTTTCTGTGTATGCAGGCATGTTTACATGTGTGTATTAGTTTTTACATCAATGGCATTATTCTGTACATAGACTATAGGATATATATTCTATCTTTGAAACCATACTTTAATCTATACTTGCTTTGACTCCTCATTGTTGTGTGATGGACTTTTTCCGTTAAAGAGTCTCTGCCTCCCCAGCACCCATATCCTGCTCCCCGTAGGCAGTCTCCATACTGCTGTGGAGAGATTTTTTCTAATTGTGGCCATGTCACTCCTCTGCTAAAAATGGACAATGCTTCCCTGTGGTGTATAGAATACATTTGCATCCTGGTAAACACATTGGACTCTGTGGAACCATGGCCAGTGTGCTCGCAAACTGGAATTCTGAGCGTGAAGGTCTGAATGATGCCTCTGTTAGACTAAGAGATTCACTAAGATAAGCCCTCACTGCTAAGCACGAGTCAGCTGGTCTCCGCCAGGATTGCCTAATCTGAACATAGCGTTTATTTTCAGACTTTGGAACATCCTCTGTAACAGGTAGAAAAAAAAGGGATCTTCCTTTTTTCTTACCATTACTTTGTCGAGTTGCTAATAACCAGCCTTGAAAATAGCAAAGACTGTATCATTTGTGCCTCACCCCCAATTTATATGTTGAAACCTTACCCCCCTTGAGGGATATAATTATTAGGAGGTGGAACACCTGGAATGCAACTAGGGCCAGATGAGGTATTGAGGGTGGGGCCTCCATGACAGGATTAGTGTCCTTAGAAGAAGAGGAGACTGGAGCTCTATCTCTGTCTTGTGAGGACCGCAGAAAGGCAGCCAATGGAAGCTGGGAAGGAGCTCTCACCAGAGCCCAGCCCTGCTGGTCTCCAGATCTCAGATTTCTCAGCTTACAGAGCTATGAGAAATGAACATCTGTTGTGTAAGCCACCCAGTCGATGATATTTTAAGACAGAGGAGGAAGAAGGCTTTTAGCTTTCTATAAACTGATTAATCTACAGTATAGGATTAGATCATATAGGCTTCTTTTATTTTATAGATGAAGAAAGTGAGCTGGGGAAACAGTATGTGTCATGTCAAAAGCCATGGAATTTAGTTATGAATTAAATTAACATCTACTGCCTTTCAGTTTAATAGACTGTGACATCTTGGAATTTTCCTGAATGCTCTAAATTCTGAGGTCAGAACAGGATTCTGGAAGAGTTTAGAGATGTCTAACTATTACAGCAACAACTATTTTCATTGCTTCCAGTCCTGCATTTCTTAGATGTGGATGTTGGATTGTCCAAGTTGGTGGTTAAAAATGCCAGAGTAGTAGCCACACATATGTGTGTGATCATGGGAGAATTCTTCAATCTCTCTGAGCTTTCATTTTCTTAAGTAGAAAACAGATATAATAGCTACCTCACAGATTCGTGATTAGAAATAAACAAGATTTTACCCTATCGGTTAACAAATATTTGATAAGCGACTATTACATATCAAAAAGTTGTGCTAAGCAGTGAGATTATGTCAGTGATTCAAACATGTCCCTTGTCCTCATGAAGCTTACAGTCTGGTCAGATTTAAGGTATGAAAAAGTTAGCAGCACACTTACTTCCTTGCACAGAATCAGTTCTCAGTTAATAATACTGATGGTTCATACATTTCTAAATGTTTGTTTTCTTCTCTTTCCTTTTTAAAAGTAACTAATACGGCTGCTTTATCTTCAGGGCTACTCTCGGTCATGAAAATTGGGGCATTTATATTGGAATCACCATGAAGAAGAATGTCCATCCTCCCGCCCTGCTCTTTACCCCCTGTCATTATTTTTAAATTATTTGCTAGTAGAGAATCTGAACCTAGGCTGATCTGAAAAACTGGCATACATTCATCCCAGTGCTCTTTCCCTTATGCATTAATAGAACTTAAAAAAAAATAAATCAGGTTTTGAACTCAGTCTTGCCCCTATGTGAGTGCTTACAAATGGTTTGTAAGGAAATGTTCATCTGATAAAAAATACTTCGAAGATCTGGATAAGAATTACTTACTTCATGTTAACCAAGCATTTCAGTCTATGTGCCCAGTTCACACGTCCAAGAGCTCGGCCGGGATCTACCTACTCAGAGTGCGCCTAGCAAGGAGACACTGCATGTCCAACAAATCAGCTTAGAGGCCTCACTAAAGGAAAAGCAGCCTAGTGAGGTCCGTGTGAGACCTGCCCGGGAACGTGAAAGAAGATCAGGAAGGTTAGCGTGTCATGCACTCGGGAAGCTCTAGCAGAAGTGAGCTTGACATGCAGGGACATTTCATTGCTTGTGCAAGCGAGCTGCAGATGTCTGCTGTAACCGCGGGGCCTTGCTGGAGCCGCGGCTGACAAGGCCAGCTTCTCAGAACTGCCATCTGTCTGCGGACGTGGCAAGCTCTTACCAATGTGTGCTGAGAGAACCAGCATGGAATTGGGGCAGCCTGGGACATGACTTTAATGTCCTCCATCTGTCAAGTAGACTTATTTGGAAATAATGGATCATTCTGAGCAAGAATTGTTCAGGCTCTTCTAGAGTAACATTTACCCATTATTCTAAAAGCCAAATGGCATGCAGTTAGGTTACCCTCTGTGGAGTCAGAGAGCAGGAATCGGTCTAGTCAATACAATTGCATGGCTCTTGGTGCTTTAGGTGGCATAAATGAAAGGCTTCCCCCCACTGGATCCAGAACCTACCTTCCTTCCTCCCAGGCACTGCTGGAGTTGGGGCTTAGTAAGAACACCATATTGGCAGTCATGGGGCTGCCAAGTTATTTCCCTCCAGTCACAGGTCCTGTTGTCTGAACAGCTAAGGCAAGGCACGATCCATTGGCCTGGAATAGACAGTGAAATCTTTGTTCAGATTCTACTAGTGAAATTACAGTTCGTAAGTCACTACAGAGAGAAGACCACTTTGACTGTGTAAGTCCACGGAGCGAGGCATGGCCCCCTGCCAACCAGATAGAATCACATGTAGAAATGTTCTGAAATAACACAGTCTGTGCCGAAATCAAGTATGAGTCCTGCTCTGTGAAACTACATTCTTAACAAAAAAACCAAGAGATTGGGTGCTACTCCATTATTACTTGTTTTTAAATAATACATTAGGCACTAAGAAGGACCAAAGTAGATGGGAAGCCACTAATATTAAGGGAGCTGACCACAAATCTTCATTGACCTAACACAAGCTTAGGTTAGCAATCCAGCAATAGATATATTCCCCGCTTTCAAGAGAGTCAAGGTACAAGAGAAATACTTTAATACTCTGATAACTCATTATTTTGAAGACTAGGTATTGTTCCTTAACTTGATCGGTGACCTTTTTGGTGTGAATCTCTTCAGCTCATTCTAGCTCTGTTGCCTTCATTTCTTCAGCTGTAAGACAAGGCATGTACTGTTCTCACATGGTTGGGGGGAGGATTTCATGGGATAATGCATGTAATGTATCTAGCACAATTATGATATCATATTTACCTTTGTTACTAGGAGACTTCAGGCACAAAATAGGTCACAAGCTTTAGTAAATGCTTATGAGATAAATGAATATTCTCAATGCATTTAAAATCTTTTCTATTTTATTGATAAAGTGATATGTATTCAAAACACTTGCACTTTTAGTGTGAGTAGACACATTAATAATTTATTAGAAAAAATCAAGAAATGATTTTTTTGATTTTTTTTCCTTTTTCATCTTTTCAGAAATGGAGTTTGAACCAGTACATTGAATACAGAGTGGTTACTTACATCCTTTGTGGAGAATACCCTGATGTCTCCAACAATCACATGCTCTACCCTAAAGCTCTTGCTTATGTTACCACTAGATGTTTCTCTTCAAAGTACTGAGGAGCTAAATATTCCTAGCTGCTTTTTGAGTTAGAAAGAAAAAAAAAATAACAACTTTATCCATCCTGGCTTTGCTTTCTGTTAACAAAAGTATCTGGTGTGACATTAATTTTAGTGAGAAGAATTCCTACTTTCAGGCAATGAATATGGTGCGTTAACATTTCATTACCTCAAGGATGTCAGAATTGTGTGTTTGTGGAATAGTTAGAAATAATAAAATATGAAAGAAGATCTAGTTTATGGCTTACTAGTTGATCACAGGAAAGGAAAAAAATGTGGGTATATTAAGAGAGAACTGGGGGAGATAAAGTAGTACTCTCTGGGAGGATTTTAACTTAACACATTATTGAAATATCTACCTTACTAGACGTTAGGTGCTATTGGTGTTAAAATATAATAACTAAAAAAAAAAAAATAACGTTTCATAGCACGTGTCAGATGCTAGGGATATTCTGAGCACTTTAATATATTAACGTATGTAAGCCTCTTAACTTACAATGCTAAACCTCAAAAAATTTATAATCAGGTTAGAGGGTTACAATTTATACATGTAAAATAGTTACAGCATAATAAAAGTAAGGCATAATTGAGTAAAAATATCTATGTGGTGCCAAAAGAGTCTGGGCTCTAGAGACACACACAGCTGAGCTCTGCCTCCAGCTAGCTCTGTGGACCTCAACTCTGCACATTAGAGTCACCTTCAAAGCTTGTTAAAATCCCCATGCTCAAATTGTATCCTGGACTGATTAATTCAGAACCACTGGGTATGGAACTCAGGCACCGGGATTTTTTAAATGCTTTCCAGGTGATTCCAATATGCAGCCACGGTTGAGAACCACTGTTTAACTTGGAAAAATTACTTACTATTCTCTCTAGGAGAAAAATATATATAGCACCTGCCATAGTGCCTGATACCTAGCACCCAGTGGATATATTTTTCTCTCCCACCCCCACCTTAAGTAAGCCTTGGCGGTTCAGAATAAAGCATCTTGAGGGTCAGAGTTGTCTGGAAGTTCCCATGGAGCACATGAAATGTGGTTGGGTCTTCTGGATGGATCAGATTCAGAGAGCTGGAATGGGGGGTACTTTGGGGACAGTGATGAGGCAGCCCTAACAGCAGTGGGACTGAAGAAGGAAGCGGCCTCCACCAAAGATTCCATATAGGAGCGAAAAAGAAGTCGGCTCCGTAAAAGGCATTTCCGAAGTTTCCAGATGTAGAGAAGAGCCATGCTACTAAAAGACATGACATAGAAAATTTAGGAGAGGTGCTGGGTGTTGAATGGCAAAATGAAGACTGTCCTCAAAGGTGCTTGTTTCTCCATCCAGTTCTCTTTTGTAATTTTTCTGTGGTTTTCATTCAGAATTTACCTTCCTTCTAATTCTAACTTTGCCCTGGAATATAGTGTTTGTAATCAATAACCAGCTCCTGCCTATATATCTTCACATCTTCATAAAGATTTGCGGTCAGTGGGCATTCTCTCGAATGGAGTTGGAATGGGTCTTTGGATCTCCTGTCCATCCTCCTCTTTTACAGATGAGGTAAACTGAGGACCTAAGAATTAAAGGGCAGAAATGGGATCATGCTGTTAATGACAGGCTGGACCAGAACTGAGGTCTTGGAGTCTCCAATTTGCTGATCCTTTTGTCATGTTAGGCCAGGTGAGCACAAAATTAACAGCCAAAAATGAAATATGGCCTAATGACCTCTTTGGTAGCACTTACAGGAAAACCCACAAATAGGTTATTTTAATGAATTTATCTTTATTTTGAAATGCTGAATTTATTTAGTGGATTCATGTGTTGACAGAGACCGTGTTTTAAAAAAAAGATTGTTAATTTTCTTTCTAATAGGATGGTGGTATGTGGGGGACATAAATGTGTTTCTGCTAATGAGATTATATTTAGTAATATTTTGAAGGGCTCAGTTTTCATCAGATCCTTGAGTATTTCAGAGCACATGCATCCTCTCCTCCAAACACTCTCTCCCCTCTAACCTTGCTGACAGCTAATTTTGCACAAACTGGGGCCTTCTTTGGCCATTTGCTTCTAAAGCTGAGGAAGCAAGTGGCCAATTGCATGCACAAAAATCCAAATATGGGTACAATTAGATTGTGGGCATAAAATCTCAAGCACATCAAAAGGACTCCTCATTGGGTCTCTGAAAACTTGGCCCCAGTGGTTCATACTACTATATATTTATACAGTCATAACTCTCTGCATTTTTGTATTAGTTAAAAATGCCCCCCTTTTTTACTGTGATTTAGTAATACTGCTTGAAATAGACATCTGTATAACATCTGCAGGACTGGAGTTTCTTGACATTTTAAATGATACCAGCTCTTAACTAAAATTGTCAAAAAGAGGGACATAAATTCTATGTTATATATTTAAGCATTGAATGAATCAAAGCTGTGATTTCTGAAATAGAGTATGACATGTGTTTTAGGGAATGACATTCTGAGGAATAAAAATGGCTTTCGGGAGAAGTTATTTGGTTTATAATTACAGCTTTATATTTAATGCAAGTTAGAGTTCAGCCATTTAAGTGAATCAGATTGGCTGACATAATGGAGAGAAGAAATTCACTTTTGTGACTTAGGGCCATGGTGAGATGTAAAATCATATAGATAGCACTAATTCCTGACTCTATGTTATAAAATAAAGCAGTTTTCTCTCAAGAAAAAAATACATCATATTTTCAACATTAGAAGTATTAAAATAAAGTCATATTTCCTTGCTACAAAGAAAAGATGATACTATCGTCTGTTTACATATCATAAAATGCATTTGGAGCTATTTTCCTTTAAGGTACTTCTCATTCAAAAATCACTGTATAAATTTCTCCGTCAGATTAGAAGAATTCTTTTTTCATTCTTAAGCAAGAGATTTTATTCTTTGGCTGTGTCTCATAGTTAAATTATTTTCTAAATGCTAAAAATCAACTTAAAATTAAAGAAAAAAAAAAAAAAACCCAGGCCCTCAAAATTATATTAGCTAGTGTTGTTGAAAAGACGTGTAGACCATCATTTCATTGGCAAGGAAAAAAATGTATCCGGTTTGCTAAATAACTGTAATGTGCTGTGAAAATAAGATTTTGGAACTAATTTATGGCCATATAAGCTAAAGCCGGAGTGCCTGAATCAACTTCCTTCCAACGTTGTCCACCATGACAGCTGCTTTCAGCAGGAGGGAGTCCTACTGTCAAGGAAGGAACTCTCTGGCCACAAAAAATCCATTCTTGCAAACTGCTGTTCCTGGTCTCACTCATTTGTTTTGAATCTTTAGGTCTTTAGGACTGTTATGGGAGGGGCAGTGAGCCTTGGCTGATCATGCCCTGACTGCTCACAGTCTTCCGTGGGAAGGAGGAGGACTTGGATCTTGGTTTTAGTTCAGCAACCATTTTATTTTATTTATTTATTTATTTATTTATTTATTTATTTATTTATTTATTTATTTAAGATTTTATTTATTTATTTGACAGAGAGACACAGCAAGAGAGGGAACACAAAACAGGGGGAGTGGGGAGGGAGAAGCAGGCTTCCTGCGGAGTAGGGAGCCCGATGCGGGGCTCGATCCCAGGACCCAGGGACCATGACCTGAGCTGAAGGCAGATGCTTAATGACTGAGCCACCCAGGCGCTCCTCAGCAACCATTTTAAAATCACTGAAAGATGAAAAAGGGACATTCTCTGCTCTGGAGAAACATATAATCTAGGGCAGTTATCAGCAATGCATCTTTGACTATATTAATACACACTGTAATGTATGTACTTATACTCCTGTATCTATGTATTATGTTCATTATAAAACAAAAATAAGAATGATTAGATAAAAATAAATGCACGTATATTTTCATCTTTACTGGCTACATCCTGTGGACTGTCCGTCCCATGCCACTCCATCCCCTTGCTCCAATGCATCATTCCACTCTGAAAACTACTGGTTAGTGAAAGAGAGAGAAACATGTAAAGTAAACACTTGGAACATAATGAGGTAAGTGCTATGGTAGACATGTGCCCCAGGAATTCTGGGAGCACAGCAGAGAAACCAATCTGGGGGTGGGCTGGTAAGGAGAGGCTTCCTAAAGAGGAAAATACAGCATCAGGAGAATTAGGCCAAGATGGGAAGAAAACTTTCAGGAGCTGGGGACAGCATGGACCAGAGCATGGAATCCGGCAGCGGCACGGTGGGCGTGAAGTGAAGCCAAGAGGCTAGGAGGAGCTGGGAGACAGGGAGGGCCAGATTTCGAGGCCCGGTGTTGTCAGGCTAAGGGACATGGGCTTGACTGGGGAGTCTATTTTGGGGTCTTCTCTCAAGAAGCCGAGCTACCCAAGTTCCCGAAGGTGTCTGCTCGAAGATAGCTTCTCCTGTTAAGGACCAGGCACAGAGATAGCTTTGTGACAGGGCCTGGCATAAGTTACAGCAAATTTAATGAACAGGAAAAGATGCCACTTCCTGAGAAATCTCAGTACTATAGCTTTGACTTTTTGTTGAAGAACTTTTGACTTGGTTCAGTAGGAGGAATGGAATTAAGTTGTTTTATGATTCTCATAAAATGTCATCTGATAGAAAAATCCTTAACTAGACACATCGGTGTCTCCTTTGTATGTAAGAGTATATATATCTCATTTAGCTGAGAATCATAAACCATACCACCTGACATGCCATAATGGGTAAATCCCTCCCTATGCACCGACAGTGATTTATTATTTAGAACACATGTTCAAGAACGGGGATATGCCCATGTTTGTTAACTGTGCATGCCAAATTGCGATTTGTACTGCCCATTTGTGAAACTCATTTCCCATTCAAGTTGTGGTGTGAAGTTCATGGCAAGGGTAGAAAAGCGCTTGAGTGTTTTCTCAGACTCTTTAGATGAAGGGAGACTTGGGGTCATGGGGCCAGAGGGACAACCAGGAATCTCACAGAAGATGCTCCTTGCTCCTCTTATCTCTTTGGAGGTATTTTTAGTCCCAGCTTTAGCTTGACCCCACCAGTCTCCACTGAAAGAAGAACACTGGGAAGGAGAGAAACAGGGAACGTGGACAGTGGCACCAAAGTGTCTCATTCCAGGTCTGCTCTATAATTAGGCAGCATTCAACACTGTAACTTCAATTTGACATCATGATTTTCCTGCCTCTATTAATGTTCAGTATATGGGAGACCTTAGTGATCATTCTCAAAGATGTTTTTTGTTTAATTAAAAAAATGATTTAAACCTAGACTTGTTCCCTTAAGCAGTTCTTTGGTTCACATAGCCAACAGATATTTATTTTGTCCCCACTCTGTAGAAATTACAGTGCTAAGTGAATTGATAGAGTGTGAACAAGTCAGACTCCCTGTCCTCATGTAGCTGATGATCTGGGAAGACTGACCTCAAAGAATTAATTACATACTTACATTTAAATGATTGTGGAAGCGGTCATGGAAGAAAAGCGCAGGGTGCTATGAAAATATACAATAAGGAAACAAATCAGGGGCTCAAGAAAGGCTTTCTGGTACAAGTGACTTTTTGGCTGATATCTGTAGATGAATATGGATGAACCAGGCAAAGAGCAGAGGGTGAAGAAAAAAGAATTTGGTGAATCAAATAGTTCACATATTAAAGCAATGTATTCAGATTAATTCTATGTGTTACCGTTCATACTAATGAAAAAGTCATGTAGTACCTTGATTTTTTTTTTGTATAAGGATAGTTTAAATAAGTATATACTCATCTATATTAGAGGATTTTTTAGGAGAAGTGATATCCAAAGTAATCGTCACCTGTTGTGTCCCCAGATGGACAGATCTTTAGTTCGGGCTGTGAAATGGCTTCAATGTAGTCAGAGGAAATAGGCTGTAACCCACAGGTTTCCTCTGGGTGAATCAGCAAACCACAATCCTGCATTAAAATGGTAGAAATTAGCTGTAATTAACCTGACCTACAGTAATAAAATCTAAAAAAGATAAGATTATTTTTTGTGCCAAATAACCTTTGCAGATAAAAGGGAGCAATTGTTTACCCTTCTTGTGGTATTGACTTATCAATAGTTGTTTGTGCTAGAAGTAACTACTTGCATTGAGAGATGAATATAAATCCTAATGACAATTTAATCTTTATTTTGGCATTGATATTCATTACTGCATTAATACTGTCATTGATATTATTATTGCTCTGCCATTTTTTAAAGAAATGGATGCAAGTTTTGCCTTAAAAAAATACACCTGTGTGTTGTTGACTCATTAAAAATAGACTATAAGACAATATATCAAGTGAGAAAAACCATTAATGTGAAAAAATGGGAAATATTTGAGGAGAATGTTAACAGATGAATTTCATTTCAATGCACATTTATTAAGGACCCATAATATGCCAGACATGGAATTAAATACATATATTTTATTCAAAACTTATAAAAGTAGGTAACATGTCACTGCAGTGAATATCATTATAGATGCTTGTCTACTAAGCAATTCTTTCTCTAGTCGGACACGTGCAGTGGAGAACAGCAGTTTGGCTCTCTGAGATCTCTCTTCATCTCTCCTCTGCTCCAGCAGGTCGGAGCACTCTCATTTTCATTTAGCTTTTCCTTCCTTCCTTCCTTCCTTCCTTCCTTCCTTCCTTCCTTCCTTCCTTCCTTCCTTCCTTCCTTCCTCCCTCCCTCCCCCCCTCCTCCACCTTTCCCGCTCCTTCCCCTCCCTTCTGTCTTTCTCTCATGCATATATGTGCTCTCTTTTTATCGAGGTAAAATTGATATATAACATTATATACGTTTCAACTGTAGAACGTTACAATTCAACGTGTGTACACACCACAAAGCGATCTTCTAGCTTCTTCTTACAAGGTATTGGCTCCCGTATCTTGCCTGTGTCCCTCCATCCTGCCTCGCCTGATTCCACCGCCTCCCTCTTCACAGGGTTCTGTCAGTCTATCACTAGGGTGGGTAAAATGCTATTATCTCTGCTGGGAATGCTTTCCCTCTAATTTTTCCTGGAGAGCATCTTTTTGTGTTTTAGGTCTCAGCAAGGCCTTCTTGGAACTCTGGCACGATTATGTCTCCCCACTCTCGTCCATGTCATCGCTGCTTGTTTCCTTCATACCCTTCACCATTTGGTGATAATTTGTTATTTGTGTCTTTTCCACTAGACTGAACACTCCATGAGAGCAAGTAATTATTTCACGCACCCATATACCCAGTCCCTACCATAGAGTAGGCAAATATTTGTTGAATGCATAAAAGGTTAGGCATAATTGTTTCCCACTTCATATCATAAATTCTCAGTAATGGAGAGAAATAATTGGTTTGACCTCTTTGCTCTGTAACTCTGTCTCTAATGAGCAGTTTCTAGTCACCTTCCCTCACCCCCTCACATATCCTCACGCCCAACTCAGACTTCCACATCTCATATGAGAAGGTCCAGGATATTAAGGAACAAAAGGAATGAGGGTGATGTACAGACTTCATGAAATCTTGATTCAGTATACATATTTCCATTTTTAAATTCATAACTGAAGTTGGAATTTAGAATACCTATTAAAGATCAGGAATGTGATTTGTATTAAAGTGTTCATTATAAAAAAGCAATTAATATAACACAAAGTTAATAATAATGTCGTGAGGAGTTTTAGTCTGAATAAACATCTATGAATGTGTGTGTGTGTGATAGCTATCTACACATTTATTTTTGGTACAGGCTGAACCTTTTTGTAAGGCTAGAAAAAATAACATTAAGCATCTATGAGACTGCAAAAAATGTTTATATCAAACATGAGGAAGGGCAATGAGAAATAACATACACAAGTGATGGGATTGCAAATGGGTTCGGCTACTTTTGGAGGGAAGTTTATACTAAAATAAAAAACTCACAGACTCCATAGCCCTGAAGTCAGACTTCTCAAAGTCTACTCTAGAGAAACCCTCATGTAATTATAAGGATAGAACTAAATGGACTAACTAACATGGAGAGATTTCTAAGACACATGATAAAGAAAAAGAACAAAACCTAAAGAAACGCTTTGTTATAGAACAACATTTATCATATGAAACACACAGTGAACGTGCCACCAAGTCACCTAAATTCAGGTACTTCAGACTGAGATGTTATGCTCAATGTATTAATATAAAGATACCTTTTAGCATATATAAATCAACATATATAGATAGAGATAGATGATGATAGATTCATTCATGCATGCAAATAATGTTGAAACATTTCTAAAATTCTGGATTTAGAGAAACCTTTGCTGAAAATTATTGTTTGGGGTCTCTCTGGTGTGTGTGTGTGTGTGTGTGTGTGTGTGTGTGTGTGCAAGGGCATATCCTAATATTCACCAGGAGGGCATCAGAGAGTCCAGATCACAGCTGACAGAGTCCTAGCCGTTCTCTGTGGAAGCCCCATGTGTGATTGACATGTATCAATCAATGAGAAAAATGTGCTCTTACATGCGCTGATGGCTTGTCCTGTGGGGGACCCAACTCAATCCCTGACCAGTGGGTGTGGGCTGTTTTGGGAAGCTTAGTCACAGGAGCTTTTCTGAGGTGACATCTGAACAGAATAATGAGAAAAATCAGGGGATGAGAGTTCTGAGAAGAAATTGCATGTCAAGCCCACAAGATAAAGCAGGAAAAGGGGATTTGTCTTACATCCTAAGTAAAAAAAAAAAGTCATTTTTTAAGAACTCATGTGCTGACAATCTACATTATAATGATCAAATCATGGAACCTTTCTTGAGATGGCACCTCGAAGCTTATCTACTACAAACTCCTACTCAGAGGAAGAACAATTAATTCATAATGTGGTCCTAAGCATTTTTGAATACAGCTTCAAAATGGACAAGTATTAATACCTAGCAAGTGCAAAGTTCTTGCTGAAAACGCAAGTCCCCAACCTCAAGTGGCATCGTCTAGCTCATTGTCAGAAGTGCCTTCTTAATCTTGCACTGAAATCTACATCTCATTTGTTCTAATTATCTTCTTAGCTGCAGCTTAGAAAAAAATTACTATAATAATACAGAAGCATGTTCTGATCCGACTTCAAAGCTTCTGAAACAAATGGCTGGAAATAGAGCATGATAATCTTCTAAAATGTCCCGTGTCTGCACTTTCTGAATATCGGGGATCCCCCGGATGAGCCCATGATAATAGCAGAAACATAATGCAGAGCACAGGAAAGCAGACTGGGAGTCCGCCTGGGTGACCACTCCTGCTCCTTGGAACTTGGGTCTTTGTGTTTGAATTGTTACCTGGCGTCGTGCTATTTCTGCCTCAGGTGGACTTTCCCAGGGGCTACTGCTCTGTGACAGTTGGTAGATCAGACCCGTTGGTTCTAACTAAACAGCCATAACTCTAGTACATTCTAAGACAGGACAGGAATCAAAGTGATATTGCAAAGGATAGACACAGCTGAGGGTAGGAGAAGGAGAGCAGATTTCAAGGTAAATGAAATTTAGTCCTAATCTTTCTGTAGTTGAGGTCAAAGAATATTCTATTGTATTCTGTTTTTCCTTTTGAAATTCTCCTTGGCAGTTAATCTTTGTTTGCAGTTCATAAATCTTAACCCTTTCAGTTAAACTCTTGGCTATTTTGGAAAGCCGAGGCAGCCTGCTGAAGTGGACGTTATTCATTTTCCAGCTGCAGCCAAACAATGTTACTCTTAAGGTTGAATGAAACACAGCATCTGGCTAAGTACAGACCCAAGTCTGGAGACTGGCTGACAGAGTTGGGGGAGTAAGAAGAAGAGTGGCATCAGTACAGTTGGGTGGGCTCTGTGCACAGTTTATGAAATAAGAGAATAGCGGCATACACCGGAAAGAGCCCCGCCGTGTTAGGAGTCACCCTTGTGAATTTTAGTTCCAGCTTCGCCATGAACTGGCTGTATGATGTTGAGTAAGTCACCTGACCTCATTTTCTCAACATAAAATGATGAAAGGTGGAGAGAAAAGAGGGGGAAAATGCATTAAATGATCTCTTGAGTATGGCAGCAGGCAATGTTGGGTGCCTACACAATATCCATTCTCCTTTCTTCCTTTCTAACAAGAAGACCTTTGTTTTGTTGCAGGTAGCCATATATCAGGATTAAAAAAAAAGAGGAAGAAATTCTATTTCCCAGTCTTCTCTGTGGCTAGACATAGCCATGTGACACTAGTCTAGCCAAAAAAAAAAAAAAAAGGAAGGCAAAGAAAAATTAGTAAGTGAAAGCGGAAGTTGACTACGGATTTCTAGAAAAGTTTTCCTTCCCTGATGTAAGCTTTGCCTCCTTGATGTGCATTTTTTTGGTCACTCTGTTTCTTGATTCCTCTTAGAATGCAGATGTGAGCTTGAAGGAGGAAGAGCCATGTCGTGACCATGAGACAACCGTGAGCAGAAACCTGAAAGTGCCCAGGGCATAGACGCTGCTGCAGAAATGCAGTGCCAACTTTGGGTTGTCTACCTCTGCACTTGAGAAACAAACTCATACTTGGTCAAACCATTATGTAAATAAGAATATGCAGCCAAACTTCTCTTTTCCTCTAAGAGTTTGTGAAACCTATTCTTCTCAGGCCGTATGAATCTTTCTGAGTACTGCTTTAGATATTAAAAGTGATTTACCTACTAATAACAAAATTTAAACTATCTTGAAAGAAAAACTCATTAGCATCTCTCATTTCTTTCCTCACTGGGGTGATTAGTAATTTGTTCAGGTTCAGACATATTCAAGAAAATGAATGACAGCTCTTTTGGTCATAAGTGTCATCTCTTGGAGCCTCAGAGTTTAGATACACAGAAAAGGTAGTATTTAGCAGAGTTGCTTAAAATGGCTTTAGCCCCAAAAAGCTCCACATTTAGAGTATATCATTTTCCTGGAGACTTCACAGACTCCTGACTGGATTGCCATAGCTCTCACTAGAATGCAGTAAGATAA